CGGCCGCGGCGCGTCACGGAGCAACCACCAGTATTTCCCCTCCCGGGGCTTCGCTTCAGCATCTTCTACTGGTACCGAACAGAAATGGCAGTTTCTCACCCCAAATTTTTCTCGTTCTCTCCCCGATGCCTCCTCATCTCCCCAGTCTGGAACCAGTGCACCACTGGGACTGGGAGAAAGACCAGCTGCAACAGCCACAGCCGCGACACCGGGAACGTTCAGGACCGCCGGAGCCCTTTGCGCTCAGAGGATAAAAAAACAACAAAAACCTCAAAAAAAAAGGGTTTTAACCACCAGCGCACCCCGAAAGCAGAGGGAATATGTTTTTTTTTAATCAGATAAATCCTTAAAAATCCCTTTTTTCCTGGAATTTTTCAGTGCCGCCGCGTGAACAATGCCGCCGGCACGGCGGGAGCGGCGCCGGCGTCCGATTCCCCGCAGGAGCCACGCGATTTCAGCAATTTCAGTTTCACTATGCGGAAATTTGGGGGTATTTTCTGCTTGTTTTCCAGCAATTTCAGCTGCGGGACACAAACATTTTGGGGCTTTTTGGCCCATTTTCAACAATTTCAGCTTCACTACGCAGAAAATCGTTTCTTTTCTACCCGTTTTCAGTAATTTAGGCTGCGGGACACAAACGTTTTGGGGTCTTTTTGGCCCATTTCAGCAATTTCAACTTCACTATGCGGAATTTTGGGGGGTTTTCCACCCGTTTTCTGCCGTTTAGGCTTTGCTACGTGAAAATTTGCTTCCTTTCCACCCGTTTTTATGCTTTGCTCCGCAAAAATTGGTGTCTTTTAGCTCATTTTCAGCAATTCAGGCTTCATTACGCCAAGACCCGGCACTTCCTCGGCCCCTCCGCTGACCCCCAGAGCAGCGGTTTCCCCATCCCAGCGTCTCCGCAAACTTCATTTCTCAAAATCCCACAAAACCGGCGCCGAAGCGAGGAACGCTTCAACTCAATTTTCCTTCTTGAAGGGGCGGAAATGGAGAGAGCGGCAAAAAAAAAAAAAAAAAAAAAAAAGCGCAATTTCCTCCCGTCTCTCCTCCTCTTGACCCTTTTTTAAGCCTTTTTGCCCCATTTATTGATGCCCGGAGAAAATCCGCGCTTAAAAACCTGCACCCGGGCAGAGGATCTACCTTCATTTTCTCCACCGGAGGGATTATTCACACCGGAGATGAAAACGCAGCCGCTTTCCCCGGCGTCGCCGAGCTGGAGGGCGGAAATTAGGGGAATAACATCCCTTTGCCGTGGGGATTATGGAATTTCTTTTTTAGGGAATAGCGCTATTCCGGCGCGACGCTGAAAACCTTTTTGCGGATGCTCCGGCGGTTGGCGTCGATCCGTGCGGGGGAAAAGGGATTTATCCCAGATTTTTCCCCGGTTAAAACAGGGGGGTAAAATTCATTTCTCTCCGCAGGATTGCGGTGTCGATGTCATCGTCCTGGAGAATACCTGGAGAATCCGGCACCGATTACCGGATTGGGAAAAGCTGCCGGCGAGGTGGCGGCACGCGACAAGGTGCGTTTGGGGCAGCGCTGTCCCCTCCAGTGGTTGGTGGGGTATTTCCCCCCCCTCCAGGACTGGGAAAACACCGATATTAGGGAGAGATTTTCCCAAATAAGGAAAATCCAAGGAGGAAAAAGTTGGGAGGATGCGGAAATGCCGGCGCACGGTAGGAAACGGCTCTCCCTGTGCCTCAGTTTCCCCTGGCTGCGCCTGCACCCCCCTCCCCGTGGCACCCAAGGCAAAAAATGGGGGGGGGCGGGGGGAATACACCCTTAAAACGAGGAAAAACAACTTGTTGAGGGCAGTTCCTCCCGGCCCAGCCCCACCCGAGGAGCGCCGGGAATTCCCGAGTGGATTCGGGGTGGGATGAGGGCACAGGTCGCTCCCGTTTTCCTGGCGATGGGGTCAGAGTTCGCTCCGGCTAGCCGGGCAACTCCTTAAAATACAGGGTTTTTTTTTTAAAAAAAATATGTAAAATAATATATATGTGTATATATCTCCATGAATTCCCTGTTTAGACTGAAAAAATTCCTCCCTGCGAAGCATGGGAGCGGGATCCGGCCTCCCTTCCCCGAATCTCCCCGGCTTTTTTGGGGGAGCAATGGGAAACCTCCCGACTGGGGGCTAAAATTAAGAGGTGCCTCCGGAGAAGTGGTGGTGGTGGGAGCAGGGGAAGGAATCCCGTCCTTTTTTTTTTTTTTTCCCCTAAGGGATGGAATCACCCTTCCCCCCGCCTTTAATTGGGGATTACGGATGTGACGGGGATACAAAAACATCCTAAAGAGCGTGAAAAAGAACTGCCCCCCCTCCCCTTCAGCATCCTCCCCAACCGCCGCCGCCCTACGGTTAACACCCCCCAACGTCGGGCAAACCGGTGCCCAAAACCGGTTGGGATTTTACCGGGATGGACAACCGGACGCTCACCGCGTCGCGTCTTCCTCCCGGCTTCGTTTCCCTTCCTCCCAAGGCCGGAGCGTCGGCGCAGCCGGCTACCAGCCAACGGGCAAGCTCCACCCCAGCACGGGGCCTCGCTTCCCCGTTCCCACCCCGGTGCTTTTCCTTCCTTTCCACCCCCCCTCAAAAAATCCCAAAATACGGAAAAACGGCTTCTTACCGGGATGGCTTCACCGGGAACGCTGATTTTTTTGTTTTGTTTTGTTTTTTTTCCCTTATCCTCCCTCCCCCTCTTCTCCCCGCCTCCGTCACGGGAAGACACGGCAGCAGCGTGGCTCTCTGGGAGGAAAATCCCTAAGGAAATAAAAATCAAAGTGGGAAAAAAATCGCCTGCCGCTCCCGCAAATTTCCCACCGGTTCCGCAGGGAAGTGGTGGTGGTGGGAATTCCCTACGGAACGCCGTAATTTCACCCCACTGTTCCCCCCCCCCCCCCAAAAAAAACCCCTTTGGCCAACTCATAACACACCGGAGTCTCCGCTCGTTTAAATCCCAAATTAGCCTCATCCTTAAAGATCATCTAATTAAAAGGCAAACGAGATGCCGGCTGCTTCCTGATGGGATTGAATCCCTCCTCCTAAAATCCCCCACCCCCCCAACTCCGGCCCGTTTGCGTTTGAACTAAAATCGGTGTTTTTTAGTGAGGGAAATGGGTGAGAAGCGTCAAAAACGGGGAGAAAATGGGGTGGTTTTTTTTTTTTGCTCCCCTCCTGCAGCAGCGGAGGGGGGGAAAATACCAAACCTAAAACGGGGAATTCTGGAAAAAAAGCAGGAAAAAAGGCTCTTGGGGGGGGGAAGTGTTTTATTTGGGGTGAAAAAGACTAAAATTGGTCAAAGACCCAAGGAGGAACTGAGGTGCACCAGTTGGAGAAGAGCGCGACACTGCCTGGCCGCTTTGCGCTGATATTTGGGGTGAAAACAGAGATTTTCCGGCAAATCTTGACCAGCCGGACTCACAGACAAAAATCACACGGGAATCTCCCTTTCCTGGACCCCGTTTTTCCCTGATTTTACCCCAAACACGCCCCAAAGGGATTTAAAGGGGGAGAGAAGATAAAGACGCCGCTTCTCCTGTAATAAGGCCAGGCAGGTAATTAAGCGGAAAATTAACGAAGGGAGAGACGTGGACCGGGAGTTGTTTTCCAGACGCCTGGAATTACCCCGCGGTGGGGAGTTACGAAACTTTACCTTTTTTCCAACCCCCCCCAAAAACTCCCTTTTCCCCCCCGTTTTTCCTCCCCCTTCCTGCCATCGGAGCAAGGAAAAAAAAACACCGGGAGAAGTGGAGCGAATTTTAATTAATTTGCAGTTTCCTCATCACAAATTTGAGGGGAAAAAAAAAAAAAAGAAGGAAAACGTTTCAATCCCAAACGTGCCGCTGGTTTTTATTTTGCCCAGACAGGAGCTGCGGAATCCTCCACCGAAGTGCCACCCCCTCCCCCTTCTTCAAGCACCTGGAAATTAATTGCTTTCAGACTAATTAAACTCCAAGAAGCCCGTTAACGAGGAAGCGCGACCCAAACGACACCAGCGAGGAGGTGAATCGGGGACACGGGTACCCCGGCAGAGGATTTCGGCCGCACCACCCCCTTTTTCCCCCACCAGGATTCCCCTTTTTCCATGGGTAAATCCAACAGGAGGCTCATCTTCGTTAACCCTAACGAGCCGGAGAGGAAGACACAGCTAACGAGCGACACCAAATCGCCCCCCAAAACAATCACCCTGTGTGCGCATCGCTGCGGATCCAGGTCGTTCGTCAACCCCACCTGTAAAAATCCCACCAAAAATCCGCTCGTTGCCACCTTGTGCTTATCGTTAATTGATTAATTAGCGGAATGGCACCATCTCGGGGTGCTGTGGGAGGAGGCGGTGCGCGGCGCAGACACGGTGTCCGCCGAGGAGACGAACCGCGAGCGTTTTTGGGTGAATTAACACCCCTTTGTTGCCGGCGAAGAACTAAAATTGTCGAAAAATGGGGAAAATACAATAAATCTTCATCCCAGGATTTAAATTCTCACGACTTGAGCGGCGCCACACGGATTTTTGCGCTCTCCCGCCACGGTTTCGCGCTGTAGGTACAGTCGGCCGTAGGTGCCTCCGACTTGGCCCTTCGTCAGCCGACCGGGATTAACGCAGACGCAGCCCAGGACGTCCTGCGGGGAAAAACGGGAACGCCGGTCACTGTCACCGCAACGGCTACACCGCCACAGGGACACGGTGACGCCCGTCACCCGCCGGCTGCGGAAAGAGATGGCGCTTCATTCCGGCTGAAAACCAGGTTTTGCCTAAATATGTCAAATTTGAGTTAAAATCCCTTCGTTTCACTTCTTTTCCCGCCCCCAGGGAGTCTGACGCTCCCGGTGGAAAATCCAGAACGGCTGCGGTGTTTTTTTGGGGTTCCGGTGGTTTCTTTGGGGTCGCGGTGGTTTCTTTTGAGGCTGTGGTGGTTTTTTT